TGATAGTATGATTTTACAGAAAAAAAATTCGCTTTATGATTGGTTCGAGCCATAGTTTCAGAATAAATCATGTATTGTATCGCAAATCACGACGTACGAAACAGATTTTATCGTAATATGTGTCCAAGATCTAATGAATCCATTCCTAAGATCTTATTAATCTGTGCCCAAGATCCTAAATATCTGTAAAAAAGATCTTACTTATCTGGACCCAAGATCTGATTCAAGATCTTGGTACAAGATAATATGATTATCTTGTACCTAAATTTTCAAGATCTGTTAACATTTCTGTACCTTGTATCTTGCCCAAGATCTTGCTTACAAGATGTTTGACTAGGGTGAAACTTTGTCTCGAAAAAAATTAGTAATCTCAAACTATTTAAAACTTCGTGTTTCAAACAAATATTCGAGTAATACTGACTCGTTCCATCTGAATTTATTACTGGACTTGGTCTGATATGATTAGAAGGTTTGAAAATCGATTCAAACAGAGCAAGTACACACAACTCTCACCTATGTCAGATTTGTTGGTATATAGTGAAAAAAAACCAATTAGTGATTATGGTGTTATTATTCTATAGCGGAATCGGTCTTTCATATTAGTTATTCGACGTAGGATCAGTTGTGTAATTTTCAATCAATGAAAAGTTGATGATAATAAATTGTAAAGAAAATTTGAAAATGAAGTAAAATTGCCAAAGTAAGATCTGTGTTTTCAATAACAAAGAAATATCTTTCCCAGCTACAATACGAGTATATCTTCATGCCTATGTGCACAGTGTTTACGATTGTCGGGAGCAAAAGCAATAAAATGAAGTAAGACGACGAAAAAAGAGAAAAAACAGCAAAAATTACACAAGCATCACTGGCAATCAGCACAATCTTAATTTTCTTTTCTGTTCTTATGTGTATCTTTAACAGCTGTGCTTCACATATCTATCTTCGTCGCGTCACACCCTACTCGATGAAGCATAGATTTAACAACTAACTGAAGAAATACCTTTGCCACTATGTTCAGCAATAATGTTTATGAAATTATTTCATATATTCAGAATGCAACAATCTCCATCGGACATAAATTTATACAGGTTGAGAAATGAGTAAAAAAACATTGAGAGACAACATAGATAAAAAAGCTAAGTGACGATATCAATGAGAGAATGATATCGTTATTGAAACAGCGTCTCATATGTAGTATCGATTCTACAAAGAAATTTTTCACTCGAAGAGAATCGATTTGCGACCTTTCTCAACAAAAGATAAGTGTATTTCGCCGTTAATTACAATTTAATGTCGAAAAAATGAATTAGTTTGGGTGCTTGCCATTCACTTTCCCGCCGAAAAGTAGTTCCTTTCATTCTTTTATACCGAACAAATGTGAAATCCGTTAATAGAATCGATGGTAGTTGCAACAAGGATAGACTTTATTCTTTTTCTCATCTTCAGATATGTGTATTGATGAATGAAAGTCAATAATTTTCTCAACAGACATAATTCTATTAGGTTAACGAGATAAATAGTTCTTCGCTCAAAAAGTAATAGTTCACTCTTTGTCATTATAATGAAAAAAAATCTATGTATTTTGTTTATGTCCTTGAGCTTGGATGGAATGACAAAATCTTCGATTTGTCTTGAATATCTTTAAGTAACATCCGCATAGTTCCCTAAAGCGAGAGTTGATCGTCTGAGGCTTATTGAAGTTCTGACAGATATTTTTCATCGAACTCGTCATGCTCATTAGATTTTTGTCTAGCAACATTTTAACTTATACATTTGTCGACAGAATGCGGAAAAGTACAAAGATAGAAGCAATGCTTAATCATAGAAATATTTTTTATATAAATTGTGATGATCGTTAATAAGAAATTGAAACTAATCGAGAATGGCTGCATGTACAGTGATTTTAGAAGACAGCGTTATGAAATTCATAATGCAAGGCTAACGGGAAACAGCAGTGAAGTATATTGAATGACATTGTCAAGATACCTTATTTGATTTGCGGATAATACTAATGAAAATTGTAACTGATGAACAAATGAATTTCCTTCTTGTATGAAGCCAATCAAATTAGTCTACAACGTAAAAAGTGTAAAAACTTGTTTGTCTCTGATTGATTGACCTTAATAATGCAATGATTTTTCCAATGGCTGAAAGGTATTGATCATAGTGGTTTTTCGATCAATAGTGTGTAAAAAGAATACTTTTTTCAATGGGTAAATTAATGAAGGAGAATGAGACCAGTGAGTCTTGTAGTTCTGAATCTATGACTGGTGTGCTAAGACGAAAAAAAAAACCTTGATTTAAATTCGTGACGCGAATGTTAAGGATTGAAAAAAATCTGTGTAGTAATGCTGACAAACAACATGTAATATGCCATTTGCATATATCACAGATTAAGTTGAATCGATCGACACCAATTTTTTTTCTCAGTGATCTACTAATATTGTCATACGATTAACTTTTTGATGACTGATAAAGACTGACTTATTTGAAGAAAAAAGAATACCTTTTGTTAAGAACCATTCGGATAGATTGAATAGAATTTATGTTATATGATTTACTTCAAATACTTGTTTAAGATAAAGTTGCGATCAAATTAAGTTGCGAATGTCTTATCGTAACATTCGCAATGATTTTTACAAATGGAAATATTTTCGAGTAAGAGAACAACTTTTTATGATCAAGACATATCCTACAAGAGAGTGTGAGTGTTGGTGCAGATAATACAAAGGATTACAATTACATTCACACCCACACCCACACCATTTTGGTAAATCTATAAATGATTTTATATCTCAGTCGATCGTTTTCTTCATCGAGTTACATGAGTTGTTCATCAATAAAAAAAAGATCCGAAGTGCATGATGACAGCGTAAGACTAATATCTATGTAATCGATGATTCAATCGTAAAAAGTTCAGAATTGATCTTAACAGCTTGTTCACAGTGTTTGACTGATCTATCATTCTAGTTCAGTATATTTTCTTGTTTTTTGGATTTTTGTTCGCGACAAAACAAATACATCATCAATCGTCCTCCAACTGTTTGCCACATGAAGTCCATATAATCTGTTGAAGGTAATATATAAATAAAAAATGTCACAGCCTGTGGAATAAAAATAAATAAATTCAGAGCGATATGTAAATGAAGAAAACTTCGCTGTGATGATTCAATACAGTGATACATTAAATGTGCAAATATGAAATGTGGCAAACAGCAAACGATAATCAATATTGGTGGTATCAAATACAATCGTTTATCCTTAAGTCCATCGAGTGATAATTGACAATATGATGAGCTGCCTCGTACATGACCTAGTCGCCAGAGTGTAATTGTGAAACAAACAAAATGTATGAAGCATGGTAATGCTAAATTCAATGTGGATAACCAATCATCAAGTGTATTCAACCATTTTTTGTCATAATCAAATGTACACACGAAAGTATTTCGTTGAACAGGATCTGGTAATGCTTGTCGTCCAAATATTTCATGAATATGCGTGCTGAAAACACTAACAGTCATGATGATCATGATTATTATGGTTCGTCTTTGTGCTCGGGTACCTATGACTGCAATAAAGTAGACATCGAACAATAGTCGTTCAAGTGTGATTCCTGCACTTAACCATAATCCCAAATGAACTAGCATTGTGCCAATAACCGGCGCAATATTACATGAATAAAATGTGTAAACAGCGGAGGAATATTGATCAAATAACATTAATATGACACGTGATTGTAATTCTAACGAAATAATCAAAGAGGACGCAGAGTATAATATCAAAAAAAGAATATTATCTCCACGAATAGAAAGGCGTTTTTTATCTCTTACGTCATGTAATAAAAAGACTTGTAAACTAAGTATATTACTAATAATAGAAACTATTACTAGGAGACTAACCACAATCACAAAAACTACTTGTTTGGTGGTTCTCTCCGATTTTTTGCCAGTAGTTCGAATATCAACTAACATAGCTGATGTTAGTGATAATGGAATGATGTTATCCTTGAATTGACATCGATCACCCTTGAAACATTTTTGACATTGACATGCAATGGTAATATTCGAGTTTGTACTATTAGTACTATCAATCATGTAGCATTGACCACAATAATGACAAAAATCATTCATGCATACGTCTTGTGCCGATATACAAATGACGAAAAGAAGAATCAAGTACCAAACAATCATCATAACAGTTATATACGTTTATTCTAGAAAGATGAAACTAAACCGAAGATAGTGACATGTACAGAATAATTTGAATTTTAGAGTGTGAGTGTGAGTCTTCTCTCCACTCTATCCCATACACCGACAGTTACATCCACACCCATAAATCTCTATGTGATGTGAAGAGCTACAGCATTTAGACTTTTTCTATTCTATTTTGAGATCATAATGTAATATTAAATATAAAATGTTGTAGGGCAGATCAAGCTCTATTGGTTGGTATATGATTCCACCTTGAATAGTCAAAAATATTCCGAGGGGAAAATCCACAACGAATGATAGATCAAATTCAAAAACTTTTTAGGGGTATATCGAGACGATGTATCAGGTCGCTCTACCCTAGCGAACTAGGAGTAAATCTCTGGATGGTGATGTTTTGGACTATTATATACAAAACTAAGGTCTAACTTTCCATGGAATCAGATTCAAAAACTTGTTGACTCACATGTTTTTGCTATTATTCTTTTTTTTTTCATGAAATGTCTCTTACAAACGAGTAGATGTTTGTCATTGAAAACCAAATGCGATAAGTGCGTAATACTCACGATTCTTCACTTCTTTCTTCATATTATATAAGCGCTTTTTTTTCAACTGTCGTCTTTGTCAGTATGATATTTGTTAAGTGTTTGAAAGCAATAAACATATGACTCATGATACATATTGATTTTTTCTTTCAGAAAAAAGGAAGTGAAAGAACTGGTTTTTTACAAGTGACATAATATAAGATACTGACGAATAAACGCCATCAAACTCGTTTGTAGATGATCAATAATGGCATTATCCAGAGTGAGTAAATTTTATCTGGCCTGCAGAAATAGTGATCTAGATGAGGTAAAACGCATAATTATTTCAATTAGTGCTAATGAAATCAACCAATTCGAAGAAACTAGTCTTGGGAAGAGTACAGCATTACATGCAGCATCATATTACGATCATCACCAAGTAGTTGAAATATTACTGGCATTTCAAGCAGATTTAACAATCAGAAATTTTGCTGGACTAACAGCTTACGAAGAAGCTAGTACGAGAGATGTAGTATGTGCATTTAGACGTCATCGAATGATTGATAATACTGCAAATACCCGTTTTTCCCAAGCGAACTCGAATCTTGAATGGATCTCATATAATCCAGCTATGGTTAAACAAGCATCTCATTACAATAAATGGCTTGTCACTGGCTGTAATAACATGGAATTCACTATCGAAGATAGTATCCATTTTTATTTAAACGTAAAAGAAGAATTAAAGAATGATCCTGATATTGACGAAGTCCAGAAATTATTTCGAGAAGCAATTAATAAACATGACTCACGACTTATCGTGAAAGCTTACACATTAGAAACGCGTTTTTATCGAGTGTTAAACAGAGATCTAGCGGCTACATCAGCTGATATGTTAAATCAAAAATTCATATTCGATGTAGAAATTCAACCCTTTTGGCAATCCTACGGGCGAATCGCTGCTATTATTGCTCGACATCCAGATTTGCATAGATATGGAGTTGAAGGTTCTTTTTATCGTGGTATGACATTGAGTACAGACGACTTATTGCAATATACAAATGGTGCACGTATCTTAACTAAAACTTTTGCTTCATGTTCACACGACTCTTCTGTTGCCGAAGAATTTGCAACCAGAGATCTTGACCTTAAAACTGAGAAATGTCCTGTTCTATGCAAATACGTCATCACTAATAAACGTTCAGCATTGAAACTTGGCGATCTATCAAGATATCCAGAAGAAAAAGAAGTGTTAATTGTACCATTTTGTGTATTCGAAATTGTAAAAATTAGACTAAAAATGTTCGAATGGTCGATTGAGGATGGGACAGTGATAAGAAAAGAAGGACTAAAAATCGAATTACAAGAATGTGAAAAACAAAACTCCAACTGTCGATTGATGTAAAATGATCTTTACACCATCGATTTGCAGAATATTTAGAAGCTTTACTAATTGAATATTGTTCATCTCATGTTTAGTGAATTTTATCTCTAACAATCACTTTGTATCGCTCAAAGCGATACAATTATGAGAAGACCTTAGTAGCTCCGGAAGATGACATTGAACGACGGAAAAAGAGAAGACTTGAACCATTTGACAACGTTATGTTGCATCGCATCACGGAGTAAACTAGAGGGTGTGGGTGTGGGATGTGGGCATAGGTGTGAGTGGTGTGGGTCTGGGTGTATGTGTAGGTGTGGGTGTTGCTGGTTATGGGTGTGGATGTGCGGGATGAAAAGAAGAACAGTCACGCCCACATACAGCCACACTCATGCACCCACGCCCACACCCACGTCCGCACCCTGAATTCATTGAATGTCGAGTGTCAGTCATGCCGTAATCTGGCAAAGTTTGAATTAAGGGTTTGGGTGTGGGTCTTATTTTAAATTCATCCACACCCACACCCACACCCACACCCACACCCACACCCACACCCACACCCACACC